TGTAACTTTATACTATGATGCATTGGATTGACATGATTCCAATATAAATATAAATTTCGCCATATATATTCAATCCATAAGTGTTAATACATGAGACCATTTGAAATAAAAATTAAATTTGAATTTCAAAGTAATTTAGTTTTCAAATGTAAAAAATATTATAACCTTTACCTTTACCATATGCAATTAAATTTGGATTCCAAAATAATTTAATTTTCAAATGTGCAAAAATATTATAACCTTTACATTTACCATATGTAATTGGTAAATGTGTTAATTGCAATATTTTTTTATTTAATTATTTAAATTAGGTTGTAATATAATAAAATTAGGGTGTGTTTAGATGAAATTTTGTATAAGTAATTTTAAGAGAGAAAAAAATATTTTATAAGTTAAAATTAATTTATTTATAAGGTAATTTCTACAAATTATTTTATATTTGAAAAATATTTTTTATTTATGTATAAGTGAATTTTAACTTTAAAGAAATTTATTTTATTTTTTTCTTTATATTCTTTTTCTTCTTAAGATATTTATCAATATTATTACAAATAAGTTTATTTTAAATTAATAATAATTTTGACTCATCATTATAACTTAATAATATGATAAAAATTATAAAGATATTTATTCTTGCATGTCAAGAATACTATTAACTCTTTTTATTACCATTTTTTCTACTTCAACAAATCTAGAAATTTTTGCCATTCATTTATTATTGTTCTTCCAATACTATATCATCTCAACAAACATTTGAATCTACACAGAGTACATCTAAACTAATCATTATCCAATTTATCATACACCTCCAACAAGTATGTCATCAGCTTGTCTAACAAAAATTTCTATAGTGTAATTTGAATAGTCTCTTCGTTTAAATCTCACCTAAGACGAATCAAGAATTTTAAACGAAGGGTCAACATAAAAATAAATATATTATATAAAGTTATTAAAAATTATAAATTATTCACATATATTTAAAATTAACATAAACAAAAAAAAATAAAAATAAATATATATATATATATATATATATATATAAGTACAGTTCAATTATGTTCAACAATAATTCATATTATAAAAATCATTAATTATTATATATGATTTAAATTTTTTGTTTGCCACAAAAAATGTTAACTTTCTTAAAAAGTGTTTCCCAGCTCGCAATCTCTTAACTTTTGAATTAATGATTTTGTACTAGAAATTAAATACATAACATTCACAATATCTTAAGATTTTTTTGTCATTGATTCTCATAATTTCTCTCATCACATGTAAAATGAACACAAAATCAAATATCATCAAATATTTAAGAGCATAAGCAACATCACTTCATTGAGAGTATTTAAATCTGTTAATAACTAAATCTTCAAGAACTAAATTTGTTGCACTAAACATCTGTAAAATGCTATATATTGAATTACAACGAGAATTTCATCTATTGTCTCCATACCCTTACAATGTGTCAATTTGATTAGTGTCTCAATCTCATTTATTTCAATCAAATGAGTTATTTCATTTGCATAAGTAGCTTGTAACTTATTATTGCGTTTACAAAAAGAACATACAATATTAGTCAAGTTTTGAAAAAAACATGAACATCTATAACTTCTTTAGCTACAACAATTAGAGCTAATTATAATTAATGAGCAAAACAATTTATATAATATGTATAAGGATATTTTTGAAGATTTAAAGCATATACCATGAATACCCTTGAGCATGAACATTTTTAATGTTGAGATTATGATGAGACAATACTAAATAAATTTCTTATATAAGAAAAGTTGCAATAGTTCTCTTACATGTATTACATCTATTAGGCACTATTTAATAAACTCTTCTTAATCAACAAATTTAAGAACAGAAGCAATTTGTTCTCTTTTAGATTCATTTTGAGCCTTATCAGCAGTAAAATAAAATTTTGCATCATTAATCTCATTAAAAATTTCACTTTAAACCTTATCTAGCAAAAAGGTGTAGAATTTCTCTTTGAATAGCTTGTGATGTGTAGTATAGTATCTTGCATTTTAGGGACATCCTCCAAATCAACGACATCTACTTATTTCTTATAAGAAGTCAAAAGTTTTAATATTTTAAGAAAGTTGCCTTAATTCTTAGATTTCAAACTTTTATCATATGACCTCTAAAAGCATAAAATTGAAATGTTAACTACTTAATAACATCAATAGAAACTTTAAGATGCAATCAATTGATTAAAACTTGTTGTAAAGTCTATTTAGATAACACTTATCAATATGACATGATTGATTCTTTAAGTCTTCACCACATTTAACAACAATATGATGAGGAGAATTAAAATATTTTTAATATGAGATAAAAATGCACAATTTTTTTCATTATTCACTTTTTTCGAGTTTCTAAATTCTCATTCAAGTGAATGAAGTAGACTTCTTAGAAAATATTTAGTATGTAAGACAAAATGCAACATCTATTTATGATGAATACTTTAACAAATTTTTTTAACCAATTAGCTTGAAATTGACGATAGTGATTATCTAAACATGAAAGTGAATACTCATTTATAAAAAATTAATAAGACCAAAATTTTATATATGTTCTATGAATTTCATCTTATTAATTAATAGGATTATTTTAAATTTGTGTACACTTCCCAGGATCACGTAGCAAAGTATCAATATCAATTTTTTACATATTGCATCTTTATAATTTTGGAAGAATATTATTGAATAGGTTAATCAATTGTAGGTTGCTCTAGAATGTTTTCAACATTACTTTTGTTGAATTTAAAGTTGGTAAACTAAATTTTATTTCATCATTTATCTCTTAAAATTTGTTTTCTTATACATCTCTAAAGTTCAACCTGAATTGTTTTTTCTCACATTTTGACATCAAGAGAGCATTATAAAATATTAAAACAATTAACTAATTTACAACCAATAAACAAATTTATATCAATATTTAATATTTTTATACTTACATTACATATATTAATTTGATCGAAAGTAGTCTGTTTCAACTTCAGATCACTCAAATTTTCGATATCCCTTTTTATTTCTCATCAAATGAATGACATAATAATGAAGAAAAATAATAAAGAAAATAATTTTACTTATTGTTTCTTTACTTAAAAAAAATATTGAGATATCTTATTTATTTTTAATTTTTTGTCTTTCTCCAATATGAAAATATCTCCAACACGAACAAGAGAAAAAATTAAAAAATAAAAAGTAACAATTTTTATACAAAATTATTAAATTTTTATACAAGAGAATGTGATTTAAGCAATGATAAGGACACTCAAATTATTAAATTAATTGAAAATAATCGATTTTGGTAATCTTATTTCTTGTTCAATGGTGATCTTTTGTGATTTAAAAGTGAGACCCAACAAAATTCATGATTTATACAAAATTTTAATCCATCATAAAGAGTGTGGAAGAAAGAAATTGGAAAGAGTATTGATGAGTGAGTATGGATTACCACATTTCCTGCTCTCAATCAATCTTTTATTCATTAATGGAGGTCTAACACTTATAATATTTGACTCCCAAAATCATTCATTTTTATTTTAATTATTTTCTTAAAAATTATATTTTCAAAAATATTACTTAATTATTATATAGTTTTTAAAAAAGAATATGTTTTGAGTCAATTATTATTATAAAATTAATAATTTCACATTCAATTATCACGTGCCAACTCACAGAAATTTTATTCCTACTCTAACGCAAACTAACATTCTTTCTTATCTCTTGAAGTTCAAATTACTTTATTCGCTTATATAAAATATTAAAAACTTTAATTTTCTGTAATTCATTTTATAAAACACAAGCATTCCTCAAAAAATAGTCAAATAGTATCAAACCTTAGGCCTTAAGTTTAAATTCCTCGAAAAACTGGACGTAATTTGAGTTAAAGCAGAAACAAAAAAAAAAAATAACAAAGATTCCTCAAAAAAATCATAATATTTATAAAAATAGACAAGTGTTTGAAGAAGGTTGATTAAACTAAATAGCCAAGTATTTCTTTCATATTTGATATATAAAAAAAATATTTATATTAATTTTTATGAATTAAAATCATCAGTAAATTTATCCTAATGACTGAAAATATATTTTATTTTTTATTATTTTATCGGTTGTTTCTGTATTTTTGCAAAAAGGAAATTATATTATTATTATTATTATACAGTACACGAGGTCCAACCAGAAAGTCACAGGTATCGATGACGATCATTCAAACAAACAATCAAACTCAAATTTCTTCTCACACCGGCCTCTTACTTTCTTTTAACTTCCTTATTCTGAGTATCCAAAACCTTTATTTTACCTTTTTCTTTTTTTTTTAACATGAAACAATTAAACATTCCAAATAATTAATGATTGATCAAACATTTTTTTTCTAAATTAACTAAAACATGTTAATTATCAACTAACCTGCAATACAAATTAAGGTGTTGAAATAGTGGATAACTACAACTTTATAACCGTCCTTTTTAAGAAATAATATATAATAATGATGATGAACCAGTTGCAATGGTTTAACCTAAGCATCACCAGACAAAATAATTTATATAATAAAGAATAGCACAGTACATATATCGTGGCAAAAGAAAAAAAAAAACTAATTTAATTATTTTCTTAGGTTGACATATAAAACCAGTTAGAACACGAAAGAAAGAGAAGAGAAACACAGATAGACCGTACCTATATATAACCGAAAAACACTATTCATCAATCAACCGAACAATAAAGAAAGAACAAGAACACGTGAAAAGAGAGAAAGAGAAGTGAAGAAGAAGAAGATGATGGTGATAATAATGTCTATAAGAAATTGTTTTCATCTTATTTCTCTTTCTGCAGAAAACCCAACAGAAAGTGTTTATCACTATTACTTCCAATTTCTATAAAATCGTAAAACTTCATATATATTTCTCTCCTGTATCATATACTATACAACATACATAATGAAATACACAAGAAAAGAAAGGTGAAAGGAACTAAACTACAGAAGCTCTACCTCTTGAGCAATTTCTTATATGTGGGGGTGATTTTGATGACAAGGCCAGGGAAAACATCATCAGGGTCATGAATATGAGGATTCCGTTCAACAATAAAAGGGTCACCACACTTGTCACTTATGGTGTGTAGGGTCTCCCCTTCTCCCACCACATATATCTCATCACACGGCCGTTCAAAGAGGTTGCTCCGCCCTCTCCCCACCACCGTCGCCGTGGCCCCATCCTCCTCCTCCGCCACATGGCTCTCCCTTATGGACCCCAATAGAATTAGACACAAAAGTGCCAACGCACAACACCAAGATGCTGAATCAGCTAGGCTCTTAGTGGAGGAACCCATCATGTATCTATGTAGCTATGTTTTGTATCAGAACTCAGAAAAGAAAATGAAAAGAGATATATTGGAAGAAACTAACTTGTGGGACTATATATATAGAGTGATTCTAATCTGGGGTTTTTTCATATATATATATATATTGAAGAGTATTTATTGGTACGTGGGACACACAGGATGTGAAAGAAGGGTTTTAAGTAAAGTTTGGTGTATTTGTTGGGGGGAAGTTTGGATTCAACGACAGAGGCAGAAAGAAGGAGGGAACTGCCAAAAGAAAATGATTATAATGGTGTTTATATTTATTAATTTATTGCAATTTTAACTCTGATGTATTGTGTATAATTTCACCTAATTGTTATTGACAATTATTTCATAGATTTAATTACTAATGCTATTCAATAAATGCTACTAAATATGAATGTTTGACCGGCGTTTCCACATAATGAAGTTGTCTGGTTTTAATATATTTGAATTTTCTAATTTTTTAAAGAATTTTTACACTCTCATTTAATTATAATTATAATTATAACTATATATACTATATTTATATAAAATCATCGTAAAACGGTTGAGCATTTTAATATTTATTTGACAGTCAAATCTGAATTAATATTTAATTGATTAAAATGTATTTTTTATTTTTTTATTAATTTATTTTGATCACGTTGTTACAAAATGTATTTTCACATTTTTAATTTAATAAATTATTAATCTTTTTTTGTTTTAGTGGCACAAGTTTGAAATATTTTTAGACTAATTTAAAACATAAAACTTATTCTATTATAATGTTTGAATAAAAAAATTCAGCGACTGTGCTAAATAAATTAAACTTTATTAAATTTGAAGAAAAAGTGTAGAACTTAAAATTCACTAGGAGTCTCTGAAATCTGAAAGATATATTTTTGTTTCTTTTAAACTTTTCAAAATTATGTTTCAATTTTTTAAAATTATATATTTTTTCTCTAATTTATAAATATATTCATTTTTTATTCACAAATAATTGTAATTAAAATTTAGTGATGATTGTAAACCGTCAGGAAATATATTTCGATGAAAAAAACTAAACATTTTTCAGTTAGAGAGATGAGAATAAGAGATAAAAAGAAACTTATTAGATGACTAAAATGAAATTAATTTTTTGTAAAAGTATGAAAATGATTTTCTATCGGCAATATATTTTTATGAATTTATTAAGCTTAATATAAATAAATATACTTTGCTTAAAACACATAGGAAGGAGATTATTGAGGTTAAGAACCACCCTTGTAACGTCATGCTGACGATGATTAGTTAGTTTGATTAAATTGATAATTTTTTTTATATAATTTCTGTTAAATGATAATGATCTTTCGATAAGCTAGAGATATGACGTGACTATGAAATAGAATCTCTTCTCATAATTTCCCATTTTTTAAAATTTATTTAGATAAACACTCTTCCAATGGTTGAATATTTCGCTTCTTGTTGAAAACTTTATATGATAATACTAACATCGTAGTCAAACGTTAACATAAAAGAAAAATAACGTCCGAAAAAAGCAACATTACATTTCACGAGTAAATAATACCAAAACGACATCATTTTTTACATTTAGCAACCACTTTGCAATGGAACAAAGTGGTCATTGGTCATTATCATAATTAATTTTCTTAGTCTTCAAATTAGTGATGTGAAGAAACTTGGAACAGAAAAAGGACTTTGATTTTCATTGGTGGTTTAGTTTCAAAGTATTATTATGTGTGGAGCATATTCTAGGTCGGTTGAAACTAGGGTTGTGTGAAATAGAAATAAGAAAGGAAAAATGTTGGAGTGTGTTTGCATAGAAGAAAATGGGTGTTTGACACGTGGCAATTATTTCGGTTTCCACCTGAAACCCTACCCTCTTGGTGATCGAGTAGGTGCAAAAGTTGTTGAACCAAACATGATCAAAGTAGAGTTAGATTAAGGAATTAATAGGATAAATAAGTCATTTTTTCTTACCTTAGGTTTTCTCTTATTTTCTACGTTTGAGATGGTACTTCTTTAAAATGTTTTGGGCAAAAATTAAATCTATGTAGATTAATTATTATTAAAAAAAGGTAAAAAGTAGCTTTTATGCATGTTTCAAATTTTAATTTTTGTATGTAAAAATATGTCGTCAAAGAATGAAGACATTCTCTAAAGTTTTTATGTTGTTCAAAAACCATTGGTTCTAATAAACACAAATTGCAAGGTCATTGAACGGGTCATATATATGAGAATAATAGCCAGAAAAATCTCTCTGATTCAAACAAAGGGGAACCTTCACTAAAATTCAATTATATGAAATCAGAAATTGGAAACACAGAATCTCGATCCAAACAATAGCATATGCCAAGAATGGCATGGCAACAAGTGGGGTTGAAAAGAGGAAAACTAAAAAGAAATAGGGACAGGTGAGTGATGTGTGCAATGCCATGCTTTAGTGCCATTCAATTAAACTTTTAGATATAAACTCTTATCCTTGCCACTAGGATATAGAAACCTAAACTTGTGAAAACAAAAAAGTAGAAACCACCAAATCAGAAAACGTAGAACACAACTTTAGAGTGGCTTCAATTAATGGATTAAGTTTAACTCCCATGGTCATTTAATTCTACTTTGAATTTTGATTCAACAATATGTCAAATTTGTAGCTCAATATAAATTAAAGATACTTATTGGGTTAACTCGATTGAAACAAAAAATAGTTTAATTAAAATGATTGAGATTCAAATTCTATCTTTTGGACATAGAAAGAAAATTCAAATTGAAGAATAAATATACCTACTTATTTGGTGCCTCTGAAACGTTCAAAGGAGATTAGTTCGTGTATTTGATGGGAAAATATTTTTCGATGATGAAAAGAAAATACTAATATGAAAAAGTTGATAATAATATACAACTACCTACTTCATGATTTTTCATCGAATTAAAAAGTAGTAAGTTTTTAATTATATTTATTATAAAAAGAAAATAATAAATTATTATGATTGAGAGAGCATTGAGAATATTAATAAAAGGATTAACAAATTTATTAAAAATAATAAAAAATAATATTTATTATATTTTGAACAGAATAAAATATTAAAATAAAACAATAAAGACTCTTGACCCATTGGTTGTAAGGTCTGCGTTGGGTTGCGGGTTGACCTGATACATCCTTGAGTATTACTTCCTGTAGTATCGAAGACAAATGTTTATGACCAGAAAAAAAATGAAAATAAAAATAAAATAAAATTTGAGAGGCTAAAACTAAAACCATATTTAATGCATTGATGGTTATTTTACTTTTTAGGTGGGTATGTGTTGATTTAGCAGATAACTTGAAGGAGTGGGCTGGTCTAACTGTGGAGAAAAATGTAGAAGGAAATTGAAGCAGAATAAATAAACAAAAGCAAGCAAACCTAAACTTGGGTGGAGGGAACAGTGGGATGATCGAGAAAGTCATTGATAAATGCAATTGAAGGGTAGGCACATAGAGGTGGCAGGCACAAAAGGGGTCATTTTCTATTCACATTTAATAGAGGAAGAGTTCATCATTTTTGGGGGTTACCTTCAATGTTTCTGCAACTTTTGCAGTGATTATAAGATACATATAAAATAATTTATTCAAATAGACATATACAAAATTTATCGCTCTATTCCTCCACTATGTTCATCTAATTAAATTTTATCAGCTTTTTATTTTGTATTTGGCCATAATAATAAGTTAACAGTATTTATTGTCCAAATAAAATTAGCAACTTTAATTTATTTTTTTAAACTTAAAATCCTCTAACTTTTGCACTTGTGCTTTTTAAATGTCTAAACTTTTGTCTTCTTAGCCTAATTATTTTATTTATTTATTTTTTTTATAAATATTTTTTTCTCCTAGAACTTTATGATTAGAAATAATTAGGTGTAAAATGTATTAATCATCAGAAGTTTTTTATATAAATCCTTCCACTATTACAATGGATACTAAGCTTCTATTTGGACTTAAAGAGATTGTTCCAGAGAGTAAAAATTGAGAAAAATGAGATTGTTTTATTTAAAGTAAAAGAGTGGAAAGTGAACAAAATAAATAAAAAGATTGTAAAAATAATTTCATTTATTAATAAAATAAATAATAAGATAAAATGATAAATAATCAAAATATTTTTATTATAAATATTAATACCAATAAATATAAAATAAAATTAAGAAATGATTTAATATAAAATAATTATTTTGAAAAATAAATAAAATTTATATAAATCAAATTAATTTACCTATAAATTATAAAAAAAAACTTGTGATATGTTACAGATATATATAAATTTTATTTTATTTTTATAATAATTTATAAATAATATTAAAATGATAGAAATTTATTTTAAAAATACAAATGTAACTATTTTTTATATATTTTTATAAAATTTAAAATGTTAATTTTTGTACAAATATATTTTAATTTTAATTTTAAAAAAATATATTAAATAATTATAATGACACGCAACTATTATGTCATAATTTCTTCCAGACCATCCCTTTAAATACTATTTAAACATGTTTTTCTCTCCAACAACAACAACTTACTAATAAGAAAATTTCACCACCGTAAACTTGGAGCGCATGTATGATAAGTACGATAGTGTATATATACACGTATTTATATTTATAATTTTATTTTATAGTGAATTTATCATATGTTTTATTTTTATTTTTAAATCTACAAAAAGTAATAAATTAAGTTTAATATTCATATTTATTTCAATTTGATAATTTTAATTAATTTGATTTTTATTCTTGTTTTGGTTATAATTTTTTCTATAAATATTATTTTCTACTTATTCAAATTACATTGAATTCTACATTTTTTAAATTATTAAATGGATACATAGTTTGTTGGATATGAAATTGTATGCTGTTTTTTATAATTTATAGAAATTGAGTCAGATTTGTTAAAATTTTGTAAAGAATCTATACAAAATTGATTTTCATTTATATTAATTTAATTTTTATAATTGAGATTATCAACCTAATTAGAAATCATACTTAAGTTCATGTTTACTTCATATTTGAGAGTCTTTATATAGATTAGAAGGTACTCTAAACTCATTAGAAAACACTACAAAAAAAGTTTATTATCTACGGGCAAAAATCGTAAGTATTGACAAAAATTCAGTAAGCAATGTCATTTTACCTATGGATTTTTTTGTAGAAAATCAGTATGTAATTTCATCGTAAGTAATTTACTTACGAAATTATTGTCCGTAGGTAATACCATCTATGGGTAATTAACCGTAAATAATATACTTGCTTGAACAAAATATTTTTATTTATTACAAACTCCATATTTTTTATTATTACCTAGGACACCCTCCCCTTTATATTATATTTTTATTATTTATTATATTTATATATTTTATAATTATATATTTACACCAATAAATATAAATATAATTTATTTGTAAATTATTATTAAAATATCCTAATAACTCATTGGTTGGACTTTCAACTTTTAACTCCAAGGTACTTGGATTTGATTCTTAATTCTTTTAATTTAATATAATTTACCCACGAACAACATTACCTATGAATATCCGTAGGTAAGGGATAACTTATCTCGTTTAAAATAAAAAAATAAATAATTATTCACATAACATAAAAATACACTAAAATAATTATTATTTAAAATTAAAATATATCATATATATTTTTTAATTTAATCTTAAATATTTATATTTAGTAAAATCTATTAAATCAAAAAATTGACTCAATTTTTTTAATTTTATCTTAATTTAATTAAAATTTGATTATTTAAAAAGTAATAAATCCACATCTAAGGTTAAACCAATTTTACAACTGTGAACAGATATAAGCTTGAATTCTTTAACTAAAATAACTATGTTTTGTTACATTTTCGTAGATGAATGGTAACAATTACAGCCCTAACCCAATATATTATGATTTTTGTTTGTTTTTTTTTTTAAATGAAAATGATGTGGCATAGAATAAACAATCAGCCACTATCTAATTGTTACTTGTTTTCTCAGTTCTAATCAATACTATTTAATTTTATAATTTCTTAATTCTTAAAATTAAGTGAAATTTTATCCCCATATATTTATCTAATAATATATATATATATATATATATATATATATATATATATATATATATATAATTATTAATTCTTGAAAAGATATTCAAATAGTTATTTTGGACATATCGTATTTGAACGTCCATTAGCAATAGTCGAAAGTAATACAGAGGATTTGCTCAACCCAAGCTTTTGGATAAGAACAATCCAATATTCAACATAAAAAAACTCATAAAATTAATAATAATTTACTTTTAATATTATAAATTACAATATGAAGAGTGTTAATAAAAAATATTTTATCTGTTTCCTTTCAATATATTATTCTCTACTAGTTTAAATGTAATTAAATTCAAAATCACAACTGAAATGAAATAAAATAAATAATATACTCTTATACAAATTAGAATTTAAATGCACTTAGAGATATGAAGAATGTGTTCTTCACTCTGGCTGAGATATTTTTAATATTGTCTCTTCTCTCTACTCTATCCTGCATCTAAATGTTATCTTTACAATAAATAAAAAAACAAAATGTATCCCTCAACCATCACTTACAAGCTTTTATTTTATCTTTTATATTTATCTTCATGTATAAATTAAATTATTTAAATAAATTAAAAATAATAAAAAATTATATCATAGTTATTTATTGTAAACTTAAAGTCATATCTATATATTAAAAAATATTTACTTATTATAATTTTAAGTATAATATAATTCTTAAAATAAAAATATTAATTTATTATAAATTATTCTTATACAAAATGAATATTTATTCTATAAAATGCACATTTATTCGTTGCAAATTTATATAGCAAAATATTTATATATTCTATTTTACAAATTAAAGTATTTATTAATTGTAATTATGTAAAATTAAACTTTTTTTGTTGACTGAAATAGTGAACTCACAAAAAAAAAAAAGACACTGACAACTTCATAAAATTTGATTGCACTGCCATTTGGATCCTACTGCAACATAAATCTTGTTATATCTGAAAGCTTCTAAGATTTGAGAGAGGGAAAGAGAAGGGAAATGGGTAAGGGGGGAATGTCAATTGATGATCATGGAGAAGGCAAGGAAGAGAATATGGCTGCTTGGCTTCTTGGTATAAACACACTCAAGATTCAACCTTTCAAGCTTCCTACTCTAGGTATCCATTTTCTCTCAAGTAACTCTATCATTTCATTCTGGTGTTTTCTGTTTTCAAATTCCTCTATTGATGATGGTTTCACTGCCCACTTCAATAATTTTCAATAATTTGTGTTTTGGAAGGACCCCATGATGTCAGAGTTAGAATGAAGGCTGTTGGTATCTGTGGGAGTGATGTACACTACCTCAAGGTACATATAATTCTGCTGCATCTAATTTCAATAGTAAAATAAAAGGATGAAGTTATGTTGGAGTAATTTAATTATCTATGTCTAATCAATTCGCTACAGGATCTGTTCAGTTAAACTAGCAATCTATGATTGATTAGATTAATGATATTCTAAATTTTTGCACTTTTTCGTTGGACAATGTTCAACAGGATATGGGATTTTGCTTAGGTTTGAAATTTTGATTGCAGGGGTTATTTTCTTTGTTTGTCTGTGTTTTCTCCAGTGAAAAGTTTCAAATTTGTTTTTTCGTTTATTTTTCAGACACTGAGGTGTGCGCACTTTATAGTTAAGGAACCAATGGTTATTGGTCATGAGTGTGCTGGGATCATAGAAGAAGTTGGTAGTCAGGTAAAGAGTTTGGTGCCTGGTGATCGTGTGGCGATTGAACCTGGGATCAGTTGCTGGCGATGCGGCCATTGCAAGCAGGGTCGATATAATTTATGTGATGATATGAAGTTTTTTGCTACTCCACCGGTTCATGGTTCCCTGGCTAATCAGGTTTGAAACAATTCACACCTGCTCAAAAGTATAATTTCAGTCATGTGCAACTGGAAGTATACTTGGATTTTGAAATAATAAGAATTTGAAAGAAACAATGACAAGCTCAAGTCAAATCTCATGCTATCAAATATGGAATCAGTTAACAAAACTGCTTTAGAATCCTACCAAAACTCTAACTGATTAATATTCTTGACTCAGATTTTAAAACTATATGAAGAATAGTTAATGTGATATGTTGTATTCTGTTTCTCTAAATATCTGTACAAATCATCAGTATAATTTCACAAATGCTTTTCATTTTAGAAGTGTGTAAATCCAGACCATTTAAAGATACAAAGAGAATGGCACGTGTGTTATATCCAAGAGACTATTTTTTATATGCCTTATCATGTATTTGAATCGCATAAGGTCTCTCAAATGTTGTGACAGTAGTATTTTTTTTTTTTTTCCAGATTAAGCATAAGTAAATTGATGAAATTTTTGCAGAAACAAGTGACATGATGAAATGAAGCCAGTGACCAACTGGTTTAATGTCAATATCTCTAAATAACAAGTGAGAAGTCCCTTTGTCATTTTTTTCCCGTACCATTGATTTATCAAATATCTAAAAGAAGAAACTGAAAATATAAAGTTTATTTTAAGCTCTAACATGAAGCAAATTGTAGCAAGCAGTGTGCACTTAGACACTTGATTCCATGACTGTGCTATAAAGCATTACATAGCTTAATGAATGAATGGTATTCCTTTTGAAATCAAGTAGAGGCCTATAAAAGCCAATGGAATGTTTTTTTGTGTGCATGGGGATCTGCATATTCTGGGATGGAATTTTCTGTCTGCTAGAAAATGTCAATTGATTAATAGGTTTCAAAAATTATAATAAGTAAATATGGTTTTATTCAAGTATCTTAATTACCATGCATGCAGTATATATTAGTATCACCAGCTTTGCTGTTTGCGCGCCGTAAGATAAATATTTATCACATGTTCAGAGAAACACAGTAACAAGTAAATGGTTGCTTTAAAGAATATTTATTGAAGTGCACACAGCTTTGAACCATACAGATTGCTTAAAATGTTATGAACAAAACCTGCAAAAACGTACTCCACATGCTGAAAGTTTGATATTTAATGTTTAATATAATTTTCTTCTGCGTGCATTATTATTTCTGCATTGGAAAGTGTTATATTTTAAACTGAAATTACTTTGATTCCTGGCATATAATTGAAATTGAACTTTTGCTGAATATTCCTAAGGATGACAAAATGGTTATCCCACAGTTTAACATGTACATGTGATGCGACCATGACTAGTAAAATACAATTATAATCATAACCATGCTATAGTCCCCATACTCAAATGTGGGGAAGACTCTAATGAAAACCCATGTTTGAGTTTCCTTTTCTCTCTTCTACAGATAGTGCATCCTGCAGACCTGTGTTTTAAGCTGCCAGACAACGTGAGCCTAGAGGAGGGGGCCATGTGCGAACCCTTAAGTGTTGGTGTTCATGCTTGTAGGAGAGCAAATATTGGACCAGAAACAAATGTGTTGATCATGGGAGCTGGACCCATAGGACTTGTTACAATGCTTGCAGCTCGTGCTTTTGGAGCACCCAGGACTGTCATCGTGGATGTGGATGACCATCGTTTATCTGTTGCAAAATCTCTTGGTGTAGATGATATTGTTAAAGTCTCAACAAACATTCAGGTACTTAGAATCCATAGTTTTCCAAAGTCTTCCATATTTTCTTCTTTAACAGAAAGAATGTCAGACAATACCTTTCTGTGACACGATTGGCATCTTTTATAACAGTAATTTTCAGGTAAGCTCTACTTTTTCACAATATATAAAAAATGAACGAAACTAGTATTTTAACATGATGCTATCAGAAATTAGGTGTTGACAGTAAAACTGACAGTTTATTAGCTCTGTCTCCCTTTATTATTTCCCATATATTATGTTGGCACTTTGTTGTTTAAACTTTTTATGTTCTTTCCCTTGAAAGAACTGTTGTTTGATCACCACTTGTTACTCTCTCCATTCAGTAGTCAGGTTTTAGGGCTTGGTTTCTGTAATATGGTTTTGAAAGGACGCCATTTAAATGTGTTTGTGTGAAACATTATATATTTACTATGCATTTCTGAGTACTACCATGAATACCAAAGAAACCATATTTTAAATTCACTGTTTTGCAGGATGTGAATGAAGAAGTTGAGAAGATACAAAAAGTTATGGGAGCTGGTATAAATGTTACCTTTGATTGTGCTGGTTTTGACAAAACCATGTCTACAGCACTGGGTGCTACTCAGCCAGGTGGTAAAGTTTGCCTGGTGGGGATGGGACATTCTGAAATGACTGTCCCACTCACCCCTGCGGCAGCAAGGTATTTGTTTATTTTATTAAAATAATAAATAACTAAATGCTTATATTTCATGTTTTACCGACTATGTATGATGCATAGATATAGTTATATAAGATGTAACGATGTGTAATATGTGTTTGATGTATATTTTTATGCATGATCTATAATTTTTGTTTTGTTTTTTGGATTATCCAAAATCATATTCTTAATTTGAATTTGTATCTTGATCTGCAAATTCAAATTAAGAACATAATTCTTTGACATCGCTAAATAGACTCAATCTCTTCCTTTCATGAAACCATTCATTAGAGGACAATTTTCATTTTTGGTTCATCATGGGACAATGCTTCTATATTTCCTTGTCATGGATATTTTCATGTTAAATATGTAGCAGTATTGAATTTTCATAACTCAAGGTTTGGTTCGGATACTTCACATATACAACATACATATCATTAAATGTCCAAGTATGTTAGATATGATACATGAAGCAAATTAAACTATGCGTTCAAGTTTAACAGGTAATTCTTCATGACATAAAGAGTGATTTCAGAAAAAACTTATCATATATAATGAGTTGTGTATAATTTTGCATACCATGATTTTTCTTGATTCATGTGTAACATTTGATGGTGATGTGATGGTTTATCATACATAATTCAGGGAAGTTGATGTGGTTGGAGTTTTTCGCTATATGAACACATGGCCTCTTTGCCTTGAGTTTCTAAGGAGTGGCAAAATCGATGTAAAACCCCTTATAACTCACAGGTTTGGATTCTCTCAGAAGGAAGTGGAAGAAGCCTTTGAAACAAGTGCTCGTGGTGGTAATGCCATCAAGGTCATGTTCAATCTTTAGATACTGAACTGCATCTTTACAAACTGTCTTATTTTGAACAAATTATATAGTTACATGTTCGTTCATCTTAAATACCACTGTATTGATCTCTTGGATTATGTATAAAGTGTTTTCAAGGAAAACTGTAAAAGATGTTAATTGTTACTGCAGCATCTACAGATTCAGATATGTGGTGAAAGCTCTGCTTGTCTTAATATGTAAACGAGTAACCCCTCAAATTTGTTCATTAGTCATTGAGAGATTAAATCTTCATTCATGGTTCTTAAGGAATCATGAATTCTGGACACATTAGCTATTTTCAGGAGTCAACTTCACGTAAAAATATTTTACCTCGGAAATCACACTATAAACTCAATAGATTAATAGAGTATGATTCAATACATCAAGATAGATTATAAAGATTGGTCTCACTCAATACGTTATAAAAATTTCTAATTCAAGTCTAACGGCAACTTATTATCAATTTTGTGTATTCTATGATCTGTTTGGTTTCAAGAAAAAGAATAAAAAAAAGTAAAGGAAAGAAAAACTATAAACTATAAAATATATTTATTTACTTAAAAAAATAGAAAATGTTAATTTTAAATAATAATAATAATTAAAATATAAAATTAAATATTTATATAATCACAAAATTATTCATATAATTAATTATTCATTATTTTTTATGAATAAAATAACTTTTTAAATATTTAAGATTTTTGTTTCTCTCTATATATTTATAAAATACTTTTTATCATAAAATTATGAAATATATGAAATTACTTATTTAATTTTCATAATAATATTTATATTTATCACAATCTACTAAAATAATATTATATATATATATATATATATATATATATATATGTGTGTGTGTGTAAAAGTTAAAAATATATAATAGAATGCATAAATAATCTTGGAAAATAATAAAAAAATTTACTTTTTTATTTTTTCCCCATATATGAATAAAAAATAAAATACGTGATCTGAGTATAAAGTGATAATTTTTTTATCACTTTCTTTATAACTAAAAAGAGAATTTTTTTTTCACTTTTAATTTTTCCTACATACGAAAAGACCTACTAATTGTTTTTAAAGAGAAATGTAAATTACACCAAACACCGAGTTACTATACTTAACAATTGGCAATGACAAAGTTTTCTCTTATAATATCCCATTTAAGCCAATTTGCATTGATAATATTGTTTTGAAAATAAACTCGTGTCAAACTCTTCTATGGAGATTAATTATTTTTAAAATTTATATTTTATGTATAAAAACTTATTAAATGGGTCTTATATGTGATTTTATCATTGTTAATTCTTTTATAGTTTTTTTTTTAATTTGATCTCAAATAAATGTAAATTTGATCTTTATAGATATAAATATCATATTTAATAAAGTTTATTATATATGTAACAATCACATTAAGCATATGCTGTACGAACCAAATTAAAAAGAAGAATATATAAAAGAATTAACGTTTAAGGTCAATTTAATAAATTAAGTCGAGTTTGCTACATCGTAAATTATATATTTAACTTAAAAGAAAAAGGAGTTGGTGGGTAATTGTGTCTCTAATTGGTTCTAATAAATACAAATTGTAAGGTCATTGAACGGGTCATATATACGAGAATATAATATGTTTATGAAAAAAAAACAAAAATTTGAGAGGCTAAAACTAAAACCATATTTAATACATTGATGGTTATTTTACTTTTTAGGTGGGTATGTGTTGATTTAGCAGATAACTTGAAGGAGTAGCCTGGTCTAACTGTGGAGAAAAATGTAGAAGGAAATTGAAGGACAATATGGCCCATAATTGCTTTCCCAAATTTTTTTTCTCTTGAATCTAATTTATAACTGTTTATTATCATGAGTCTTAAGCACAGGTTAAGAGTAGTAATTAGTATTAATAATTATTATTTTTTCTAGTTATTTTTTTATCAATTTATAAATTAGTAATAATTTTTTTTATTTTTTATTTGATTTATGTAACATGTACCAAAGACATAGATTAAGGGGTATTCATTGCATTTCTTTTTAAGCTATACATAGGTCGGCCAGTATTAATAATTTTTTTATCACATTGTAGTAAAATAATAATCATTTTTTTCTAATTTATTTTTACCACTATTTAGTTTGCTTCTATACCATTTTCTTCTAAGATTTTGATTTACTTGAGATATTTGGATTTTTTCTTTTGAGATTCTAGTTTTACCTTATCAAATAAATATAGAATTATTGGTTTTTACTAATTGTGTAACGGTTTTTATTCCATTATTTTATAAAATAATAATTTTATGTATAATACAATCAAGTTAAAAAGGATATTTATAAATGAATAATTTTTAATCTTTTGACACAAAAGCAAGTGCTGTTGATTGAGCTTCTTGAGAGGTGAAAGAGTTGTGTCCTTCCTCTCATAATTTTATAATTTATATGAATATTTATAATTTTGGTTCTTTTAAACTTAAAATAGTATTAAATATACTTGCATGAATACTCAAAATTTTGGCCCCTCATCTTATATATTCTTACACATTTTTATATTTATTTATTATTTATTAATAATATGTTATTTACCTTTAACTATGTCAAGATCCACCAATGCAAAGAGAAATTTAAACCTATTAGAAATTATTCATACAAATATTTATGGTCCAAGCATAACAATAAATAACTTGAGATATTTTTGTTACCTATATAGATAATTATTCACCATATATGTACTTTTACTTACTTCATTCTAAGGATGAAACTTTAAATGTGTTTAATGTTTTTAAGACTAAAGTAGAATTACAATGTAAAGAACAAATTAAGATTGTGAGACTAGATAGAAGTTGAGAATACTATTATATATACATAGATAGTGGACAATTATCTGGTCCATTTGTAAAATTTCTTCAAAAATAGTACGGCTAAAAGAAGAAATCGAGCATTAATGAATATAATGAGAAACATGAAGAATGATATAAAACTTCATTAATTCTTATGGATTGAAACACTATAGTTTGTGTACATAATAAATCGAGTCTCAACTAAGGTTATTTTAAAAATAACTCTTGAGTTATTGAAAGGTTGAAAACCTAGTTTATGACATACACGTTTGGAGATGTTTGTCTGAAGTAAGAATTTATAACCCAAAAAAATAAACTAGACCCTAGGACTATTAGTGAATATTTCATTAGATATGCTGAAAAATTCAAAAGGAATAGGTTCTACTGTACATCTTGTTACATTAGAATTGTGGAATAAAAAAATATAAAATTTATTGAGAATAACTTTATTAATGGGAGTGATTTAATTTAAGATATTGGTAAAGATCAATGTGAAGTCCAATCCTCTCAATCAAATGACAAACTATTAATCATCCACACCCTCAAGTTCAAAAGCATGTTAGACGGTCGATAATTCAAGTTCCACAAATGACTAAAAATGTTACTGTAGATCAAGTTGTTGATGAGAAACAACAAGTAAATATTGAATAACCTTTTGAGAAAGCAGTTGAATAAGAAGTCCCTCATCAAGGAAATGAGACAACATTAAAATGATCTACTAAAATAAAAAGATTAGTAATTTTCTACTAATTATGAAGTGTATTGACAAGAATCAGCCGAAAATGACCCTAAAACATTTTCACAAGTCATGAGTTTTAAGGAATTATATTTGTGGTATAATGCTATGAAAGAGAAGATGAATGTTATGACGTCTAATTAAGTTTAGGATCTTGTTGAATTACCTAATGATGCAAAATTTATTAGATGTAGATAAATTTTTAAAACTTTGAAGACTCTTAAGGTAACATTGAGAGACATAAAATAAGACTTATTTTCAAAGGGTTTACTCAAAGAGAAGGAGTAAACAACGAGGAGACATTTTTCTCTCGTGTTTAAGAAAATTCTCTTCGAGTAATAATCATATTAGTAATTCATTTTAATTTTAAGTTACTCAATGGTGATCTAGAATAAGATATTTACATGAAGTAACTTGAAGGATTCATTTTTAGTAGTGGTGAACATTTAGCGCCCAAGCTTAATAAATCCATATATGGATTAAAACAAACCTCACAACAATGGTATTTAAAGTTTCATGAAGTTATATCTTCATTTGGTTTTAAAGAGAACATGATGGATCAATGTATATATCAAAATGTTAGTGAGAGTAAAATTTATTTTCTTGTTTTATATGTGAATGATATTTTACTTGTGACGAATGACAAAGACATATTATATTATGTGAAATAACTTTTCTCAAAGAACTTTGATAGGAATGATATGAAAGAGGTATCTTATATCATATGTATTAAGATTCATAGATAAATATCTTGAGGTATTTGAGTTTATCTTAAGAAACATATATCAACAAAGTTTTAGAGAAATTTAACATGAAGGATTGTTCACTAAGTGATGGGGACATGAAAGGGCAAATATTCACTTAAAGGACTTGAAGAACCTATGACAAAAGCTAGAACAAGGGAAGAAAAAAAGTTCTTCAACAAGTATTGTCCATATTATTTGAATACAAACCTACATTTCAAGGAGAAAAGATCAAAGTTGTAAATTGCATCATGACTCCAAAAGGAGGGAAGTTAATGCGTCACTTTGTTTCAGTCTTTAAATTTGTTTAAATAATGGTCTTATTCTTTGTAAAATTGACTAACCATTTTATTTTTTGGGTTAAGGTTAATCAATTAATAAGGTTTTAGAAGACTAAGAGGATATTGAATTTTGGTTGTCACAATTTCGAGTTACAATAAATCATTAAGTAGTTTTTCAATTATTAGCATTTATTTATCTCTATTAAGTATTTTTCAATTCCTAGATTAATGGATCATTATTATCATTTATTTTCCTTTATTGAGTCTTTGTAACTTTGATAACAAAAATTTGTATATAAGTTGAACCATTTTTATAAAAAATGCACAATAAATTTTATTAAAAATATTAAAGTTTAACTTTTTTATCTTAATAAAAATGATTTTTCTAAGTTTTTGAGTGATTAAAAATTCTCAA